CCATAAAAATAAGTAGTAAAGTAAAGTAAAAATATCAGAAAAATTTACTTGAGTACAGTAACGAAGTATTTGTACTTCGTTACTTCCCATCTCTGATCGTATATAACGATTAATGTAAATAAAATAGTTTTTAGAGATATACGCCTCAAAGTGTGCATGCGCAGAAAAATGTAGCTAACGGGACAAGCTTGTAGAACGGCTTTACATGAACATATCAATGAGGAGGACCACTTATTAAGATGACCCACCCGGAAATAAAAGATCGTCCTCTATACCTTTAAAACAAAGAATAATAGTATTGTGTAAATTTAACCACAGATTGGAATAAAAATGTGTCATATGCCACTCAGAATATTCTGACATCTACGTAGCCAATCAAAGCTAAAACATGTTGTGCTGATGTATTTTCATTTAATACGTTAAGTATGTTGATTTTGAAATACACTCATGATGAAACATTACAGCTCTACAAAATATATTAACATCACTGGCAACTGGAAATCCTTCATGTTTAATGAAAGTTCTCCAGGTGCAGAAGGATTGGTAAGGGGTTGACAGTACTATGTCAACAAATTAACATTTTGGGTTTTGGTTTGATGCATTTTTTCTGTGTTTTAATAGCTAAGCTTACTGTACATTTAAGCTTAAGGCATTTTAGCACTCTTGAACCAGAAGTTAATATGTTTTGAGTATAATTTATATCTTTATAACAAACTGTTCTTCAATTAATGCTAACATAAGGTTAACTTTTATGTCTCTTTTTTTTCCTTTTTTGTTGCAAAAATGACTTCTCATTTAGATAAACCATCCATTAGTCTCTAATACCTATTTCTTCCAGTTTAGGATCATGGTGAGACTTAATGGTACACCACTAAGTTTAATTTTGATTGCTATTGCAGTTAACTGAATTCAACAGCAGATAGCAACAGTATTGAAACCTATGGGAGCCTGTTAACGTCACTCTGTTAAAAAAAATAAAAAATAAATAAATGCTCTCATTATATTGAGATACTATCTAAAAATGATGATATAGTATCTCATTATAATAGCATACTATCGCATTATGAGATAGTAACTCAAAATAAAGAGATACTATCTCAAAATAATGAGATAGTAACTCAAAGTAGTGACATACTTTCTCATTATATTGAGATAGTATCCCAATATAATGAGATGATCATTCTGGAACCCCATACAGATTGGGAACACCATGCATGAATGTGGGATGACAATGAGTAGCCAGAGGATTATTTGACATAATTCCATGGTCATTCTTGCATGCATGGAAAACTTCATCCAGCTACACGTTTGATTAAAAAAATGGAAAAAAATAAAAAAGTTGTTAGGAAAAAAAATCATGCTTTTGTGTTATTTGTAACTTATATCAAATGTGTGTGCTTAAAGCAAGAAGTAATTTCCTATTACCGTATTTTCACGACTATAAGGCGCACTTAAACGTCTTTTTTTTTCCTCAAAATGTGCGGTGCGCCCTATGGTGCGGTGCGCCCTATGTGTGTTGTAACTGCGACTTTTGAGACCACCTCATTGAGGAGATGATGAAAGAGTGGCTGAATGTAAGGAGACCAGGTGTTTTTTTTTCCACCCCTCACCATCGCTGTTAATATGTAACTCCATGCGTTCCCATCTCACAGCTGATGTGAAAAACATGGGGAAACAAATTAACGCTGTGCTCGCTGTTCAACCGCTCAACATCGGTGTGAACCGGACCCAGCAGGTGCAGCAGAAGCAGTGAGTTTACATGCAAAGTCAATGGTTGACGCGCATATAGGTGCAGCAAAAGGTCCTGCAGCGCGTTTTGGTGCAGCACGTCGGGAGCGTTTAAGCATCTGACGCACCGCCAACGCGCTGCTGCTGCTCAAGATGGAAAAATTTAAGTTTTGCTGCTGGACGCGCCGCATCAACCAATCAGAGAAGCTGATCTGGGAGCTGACAGCGAGACAGTACAGCGCTCTGATGACATATGATATTAACGCAAATGAAAAGGCTGGATCGATGAGGAGATGATGAAAGGCAGGTGTATCTGAGAAGACTAGGTGGTTTTTTCCACGCATCACCATCGCTGCGTGCCCATCTCACAGCCGATGTGAAAAAAGGATGAATCAAATGAACGCTGTGCTCGCCGTTATCCCGGGGGTCTGACAAAGGAGCTTCCACCGCTCGACATCGGTTTGAAGCGGCCGTTCACAGTAAGGCTGCGAGCGGCGTGGGAGCGATGGATGACCGACGGAGACCACAGTTTCAGGATAAGAAGGCAGCGCCGGGCAGATTACGCCACAGTTTGCGGATGGATTGTAGATGCTTGGACTAAAGTGTCTGCTGGCTCTGTTGTTCAAGCTT